GGGGCCCCCCCCCCCCACTGCCACTACAGTGACTACGATCCCTGTGGGAAAACATTGTCTACTTTCGAAAGTTCGCAAAGTGGTGCTGATTCGAGTGTGCGTCCCCTAACTTTCGTATGATCCACTGCAATGCTTCAATTATGCTATGGAAAAGGTTTTATAAGCATAATGAGAAGGACTCTTTAATGAGCACTTCAACTAACGATGCTAGGACTATATTGAAATCACCTTCTTCAAATAAAGCAACTTTCTATCCTAGTTACAGTTGCGATACAGTGGTTTGTTTTGCGAGAGATATTGAAGAAGTGAAGGTGTGAAATACTGCCACATCAAAAGGGGTTCAACAGACTTGGAAGAGTCCCACTTAAGTTCTGCTTTTCAACTGACCCATTACATGGTCAATACTACTTTCCAACCTGGAAATTTTCTTGCATGTGTTAGTGTTATTACTAGCAGTGACAATTGTGATCGTGACAATTTTTTGCCATCAAGAATACCTTCTAACATTGATGTTATGCATAAATTGCAAATGTTAATTCCATTATGTCTGAAGAATGCCCTGAATACTCACTCTAAGAAGTCAATGAATACAGATGAGTTGTAAGAGTTAGCACTGTTTGCTGCAATGTAAGAGAATGAAGAGACAGTCAACTCATCTGGACTTCCACATACATTGACAGTAGAAATGTCAGATAGCTGTATTCGAACGTGCTCATAGTGATTGCACAAAGCTTGTACCTTTGAGCAAAAATTCAGCATGCAAAATGGTTGACCCCAAATAATGTTGACATTGAAAGTAAATAACCAGCCGTTACAACCTTGCTCTTGGACACAGTTTAATTGCGTGTGAATACCACTTTAAATGTCATATAATTCATCAATAGCTGCAATTATTAAGTTGAATAACAATTCAAGTACGTAGGTAGGAATGCAGCATGACATTGAGAGTTGATGGAATCACTGCCTTGTTCCTAGTGTACTTATAATGAATGAAGATTTAATCAAGGTTGCCTCTTATACAGGTGATCTAATAAGAAACGAGAAAACTAAGTCAATAGCTCTATGATGATAATTATTTTAATTGTTCTCAGAAAAAAATAAGATCCGTTTGGTTTAACGGGGGCTAAACCATAAGATCCACTGCAGCTGAAAACGCAGTGTGTCATTGTTGATTTGCACGTTAATTGCTAAAGACAAAAAGTATGACAAAAGTTTGAGGATTTCACTCAGACCCTTTTGGGGAAACTGTTGATAGCATGATCTTGATGTTGGGAGAGTGCAATCTAGTTCGCAATTTAACGCACTCACTTTTGGCACCGTTTTAAACGCGAATAGCATTTCAACTGTATTTGCGTTAACTGCATGAAATTGAATTGTATTGATTAAAGCCGTCGATATTACTAAATTAATTCTTTGATTGGATGAGCTCAAAAAGAGGGTGATTGGCTGATTTTCGTTCTGCTCATGAAAAAATATAATTGTGAGGATCAATCAAATATTCCTATTTTGAGGTATCATTTGAATTTAAAATATTGCAATATTTAAATTAACCAAAAACATCTAGGTAAAAAGAACTTTAGAAAGTACATTTTCTTTGCAACGTTAAAATCTCCACTTTAATATGTGGTTTAAACAAGCACTTATTTCCACAGCAAAAATTAAAGCAAGTATTTTTTTCAAATGATATTTAATTAAGTTAGCGAAGATGAGAATATCCAATTAGTCAAAATGTGTCCATCAATCACTGCATCAGCCATCCTCATCTACATTTAGTAAACTTCATTGCATTTCTTTCTGTATATTTATGTACTCGTCATTCCTAAAGGCATCTAGTGTTGCCTTTAAAGACAATCACTACTTATTATGGGGGGTGTGCGATAGACTTACCTCCACGTGGTGCACCCTGGACAACGTATCTTCTTACGGCAAAAAAGTCTATCACTCGACAGTTTATTTGATTTGACTTCGATTTATTATGATTAGCTTAAAAAAGGCTATAAGAAAAATCGCCCTCGTCAGGGCGAATTACAATGTCTACAGATCCTCCAGTGGAATGCTGGAGGAATGTCACAGGACAAAAAGATCCAAGTACAGAAAATCCAACTAACCTATGATGTAGACATTTTCACAATTATGGAAGCAAACATTTCGGATGACAAACTGAAGTACTACCAATTCCCAGGTTACACCCTGTACCTTCTACCTAAATACCGGCAAGTTGCAAGTGGAATTCTGACTGGAGTAAAAGAAGGCCTCACCTCACACTACGATCTAATCAAGAGTATGGGCTCGACGCAAGACATATGTGAAATAATCAGATTAAATGTTTGGAAATGTCAAAACCACTTCAAGATATACGCAGTCTATAATCCACCTCAGAATGTCCTTAACTTTGATCTTCTGAACATTTCACGCAAAATTGTAGTATTAGGAGACTTCAACGCCCATTCCACCGGATGGGGCTATGAGAATCAAACATAGCTGGAAATGAAATCAAAGACATGCTCATCAGCAACCCTCTAGAACATATTTATAGCAATGAGAAACCTGCTACATAGATGCACCACAATGGAACCAGAACAACTCCTGACTTACTCTTGGCTTCAACCGACATCAGCGAGCATACACGTCATAAAATAATTGACGATCCTGGTTCTGGTCACAAACCAGTCATTGCTAGTATTACCATCGGCAGCATAGGAATGGCAATGAAACTTCAAGAAGGCTGACTAGCCTAGATTCACAAACCTTTTAGAAAATGAACTTCACACAAGTCCCCTCAACTTCAACCAACATCCTCGAAGCCTGACTGGTCTAGATTCACTAACCTTTTAGACAATGGCTTCACAAAGTCCCCTCAACTTCAACCAACATCCTGACAAACTTTGCGATCCGAATATTATGATCAGATGTGCAAAGAAAACTATTCCCCTTAACTTCAGCCAACATCCTGACCAACTTTGCACTGCTATCACGAGAACCACCATCCTGACAAACTTTGCAATGATATTACGAATATCATGATCAGATGTGCAAAAAAAACTATTCCCCGAGGCAAGATCAACTTCAACCAACATCCTGACAAACTTTGCAAAGATATCGCGAATATTATGATTTAGATGTGCAAAACTATTCCCCGAGGTAAAACTAAACACTATCGAGTGTTACTATTCCCCGAGGCAAGACTAAACATTATCGAGTGTTTTGTTATTCCCCGAGGCAAGACTAAACACTATCGAGTGTTTTGGTGTCCCCGAGGCAAAACTAAACACTATCGAGTGTTTTGGTCTGAACAACCCCGAGGCAAGACTAAACAATATCGAGTGTTTTGGTCTACCAGAGGCAAGACTAAACACTATCGGGTGTTTTGGTCTAAGCACCTTGGGAACCTGAAAAGAAAGCGGGACGTCCTTCGCAACAATGCTGATCAGACTGGAAGAACGGAAGACGTACAAGCCTGGAGACGGCAGTCAGCTTCTGTTCTAAGACAAGCCATCTTACAAGCTAAACGGACTTCCACTATGGCAAGCCATCTTGCAAGCTAAACGCACTTCTTTCGAAATTCTCAAATATCAACTATCAAAGTGATACCCAACGCACTTTCCAAAACTTTGGGTCCAAAACAACAGGGAAAGACCCAAGAAAGAACCAATACGGTTAGACAGCAAACTGCTTACCACCAACTCCGAAATAGCTAACAACTTTGCGAGGTTCTGTTCCCACAAAGCTAAAGAAAAGCACTTTTTTTAGAAAATCTTCATGCGATTTAAAGATACAAGTATGACAGTTGGATGAAATTTAGGAAGACGCAACACCAAATAATGTGCAGTTTGGCGAAATTAAGGAAAACATAGCAACACCAAATAATGTAATCCTGAACATAACACCAAATAATGTGCTTACTGAACCATTCAGACCTTGTGAACTTAATGCTGCGATAAAATAGCTCAAGTGCAAAAAGTCTCCTGGCGAAAACAGTATTCATCCGGAATTTCGATTTAGAATGGGACCAAAAGTCAAACCATGCGCTTTACAACAAAATCTGGGAGACCAGTCTTGTACCAAACCGATGGAAAAAAATCTGGGAGACAAGTCTTGTACCTAACCAATGGAAAGTTGCTAATACCAGTACTAAAAAGGGCAAAGACCCTAGCAACTTTGATCAGTACTAAAAAAGGGCAAAGAACCTAGCAACTTTGACAAATAACTCCCTCACAAGCGTGCTGGCTAAACTTATGAAAAGAATGATTAACAGGAGGCTGACCTGGTTCCTCGAGACCAAAAAATACTTAGGAGTGAACAAGCAGGTTTCAGGCCACAAAGAT